CATGGTGGTGTTGGGTTGACGATTGGACTCGATGATCTTAGAGGTCTTTTCCAACCTTAATGATTCTATGATTCTCAGAGGTGTACAGTGATAGGGCAAGAGGCAATAGACAGAAGTCAGAACACAGGAAAGTCTGATTAGATATAAGGATTATTATTACTACTACTACTACTTCTTTTAATCATAAAGGCAGACAAGCACTGAAGAGGGCGCAGAGAAGTTGTGGGATCGCCATCCTTCAAGATATTCAGAACTCAGTTAGACAAGACCCGGAGCAGTGAGCAGCCAGATCTAATTGTATCTGCTTTGAGCAGATGGACTAGATGACCTCCCGGGGTCATCCAACCTAAATTACTTTACAGTTCTATGGTTCTTGTTTCAGGCACCCTAGGTAGCTGTTTAGTAACAGTAATAATACACTATTAGGTCTATTTTTAAATCCTCAGAATATTTTGTATGTAGTGTAGGACATGAAAGCTGATAGGGACAGTTCTGCATGTACTATAAACTGTCTTAAAACTGTTAACTGCAGTGAACCTGATAATTTACTATGATTTCCCTGCAGAGTACTATTGAACAGCTAGCATACAGATACACTTAACCCAACACCTTTCTTTAAAGAAAGCGTCACAAATAATTTTATTATTTCTAAAACAGTACTTTCTATAATAAACATAACTGCCACGTAAAGTAGCAGTTTTGAAAATGTTTTACAGTACTTGAACTTCTTGGTTTTAATTTTTTTGTTTAAATTTGCTCAAATCCATTGATTTCTCATTAATTTTCATAACTTTGTTAATCTGTTTTACTTAAAATTTTATATTTCCTTTAAACAGATGCAAGTTTTTCACCCTTAAGAAATGTTCTGTTTGATTTTTTCTTTTTAATTTTTTATTTTAATCCACTGAAATTGGTCAAAATTCCCAAGAACTATGTGAGCTATAAAAGATTTCTGATAAGCCCTAAATCCATTTCCCATGCATCTAGAAAGAAATGATTTATGACTAAACACTGAGTAGATTGATGTTCAACTCTGAAAGACTTCGATGATTATGACTCCAGAACTTTCTTCAGTAGCTTAATCCAATAAAACTGTACTTTAATAATAACAATACTGAATAATAATAATGTTAACAGTAAATGCAAATTTACAGTTGCACCATAAGCTTTCAATGTTTTTTCTAATCATTATCATTTATGACATTCATCCTTGAATATGTGTTGTGCTTCAGTCATTCGGAATGAACTTCTTCATTTCTGTTAATATTTCCTCATCTATATTATAAGTAAAATGTCATTATTACTGCTTTTTCTTTAATGTTCTTTATTCTTTCTAAATACCTCACAAAGCATAAGCCAAAGCCTAAACATAATACTTCATTTAAGGACCAACCCATAGTAAGAGAATCAACATTTTTTTGAAAAACATTTTATGCTTCCCACTGCCATTAAAATAGGGAGAAAAATTCTTACATGACAGGAAAACTTGATTTTAATATTTTCATGCAAATACCTATTTCATCACCTATTTAAACTAGTTAGCCTCCACAGCAGCCAGTCTTATGATGATATGGGACTTTCAGTGAACCTGTTTAATACAGCCACAGTATCTGCAATCATAAATAACTCAATAGCTGGCCTTGGAAAAACCCTCAAAAACTTCCTATTACAGAGTTTCTCATCATTATCAGGAATTTAAAGAGGAAAAGACAGAGGGCCAGATACTCACATAACTTTATCTAAGTCACTGATAAAGATGTGTTTAAAATTTGTAAGAGAATGCAATACATATCAATACTGATATAACGTGACTGGAAGATATTTTCTGGATGCATTTGGGATTACTGTATTATTCTTAAATAGCAAGCAATTAATTAATAAAGTCAGTTATTCTAACTACAAATATCTGTAAATATTTAAAATATTAAAATTCATTTCAGGACCTCTTAAAGGTAAATGTTAGTTCTATTAGCTCCTATCCTCCCCATTGTTGTCCTTTCATTCTCAAGGTCTACAGAAACCTTTTTGTACAATAAAACATAGTATTAAAACGTTACAGTCTTTGTACAGTAAAGTGCTTTTTAGAGATGGAATTCAACATCTGAGTGAGAAAGAAAAAGCATTTTCGTGCTAAGTGGAGTTTTTCTAAAATGGAAAAATCAAGCGAGCTAAATCTCATAGAAGTGCACCAATTCACTCTCTGTACTTTGCCTAACAGATTACATTATCACCAGGAAGATGTAACCATAGCTAAGAGAAATATGTGATGAGTGAGTGGAACAAACACAAGCTCATCTTTTCCTCGATTACTGCTTTATCTCTGCTTTATCATCTCTGCTATCCTGCTAACAGGATTAGAAGGTAGTGGGAAACATATTTCTATCAGTCAAATAAACACACAAAACTATGAATGTGATCATACAGTGATCTATAAATAACATATTGCAACAGGGTTACTTCCTTGACCATAAACTGCACTTGAAAATGACTCAAAATGCTGTATTTTCATGGGGAAAAAAATGGACGTGTAGGGAATTAACTACAGCACCGGTATTGTTAAACTTCAGTACTGAGTATAAAGTCTATACTGGCTGGATAAATGTGCTGACTATACTGGCATGAGTTTTCCAATTGCATGTATGCAACTATATTGCATATGTTATTAGCAGGGTAAGGAGATACCTCTGTTTTTCTTTAAATCAGAAGATGTTTCATATTCAGAGATAAATACTGGCAGTTGCTAAAGTCAACGAACTGTCACATGGAAACATACAAAACAAAACATCTTTTCAGCAGGATTTCAAAATAAAACTAGATGAGTAATTTACCTCTTAATGGTAAATGACACTTTTTCAGAGTACAGTCCTTCTGGCACAGGTTCATACACAGCCCCTACTATCTGCAAAATAAATAATCTACGGTTAATTGAAGAAAAATATTCCGTTATTTATTTGAAGATCCCATATGATAAGTATTGCTCCTTGAAACAACCTGATGGACATTACATCATCAACTCTAACTTGCAAAACAACTTAGAACATGTCTTCTAATGCAGAATGTCACCTCTAATCAGGTATCCACATTAACGTACATAATCACTGTAGGTCAAAGGTCTACAATATCTGAATAAGGGAAACATTAAAAAAACCCCAGACAAACAATGATTTATTTTTATTTGTGATCACATCCTAAGGTGTAATACACAATGCTATAGAAAATCCAATATTATAGTACATCAAGAAATTTTATATATCTAAAGCTCCTATCACCAAATGCAATGATAAAAATATGCTAATCTGAGAGGTAATAATATACTAACATTTACAAGCAATTTTTGCAATTAGAATGGCAAGATAGCAATTCATACAATGATAAACACTTGTGCTTATTCACACATCAGACCAGAGAGCAGTTTATGCTTCTATAACCTTAAACATAAATTCTCATGGATCTAGTGAACACATGCAGAAATAATTGGTAGGTTGATCTGGCAAATCTGAATACCTTAGTTGCCAAGGAGAGCATATTGGTGCTGTAAAACGGTGGGTTCAGAGTTGCCATCTGATAAAGGATGCATCCTGCAGCCCAGACATCAGCCTTTTCTCCATACGGCTCACTCTTTACAACTTCAGGGCTAAGTAAAAAGCAATGTAACCCACAAGTGTTTAATTAATTCACCTAGAAGTAGGCTTATTTTTTAAAAAAACACAAAATAATTTAGTCACTACAACATATTTTCAGAGCACATGCAACCTTTTGAACGTAATGGTATTTATTTCCTTTACCAGCCAAATTCTTTAAGTGGAAATACAATTAATAGCTTTTCCACTTCTACTGCAGTTCTTCTCACAACGCTAGTGGTATAAATTTTGTTCACTTGTCCTTTCCACTTATTTCATGTTATAATGTCTTTACTCTTAATGGATACAAATTAACTACAGCATTCAGAACTTGTTTACAAAGATGGTATTTCAATAAAATGGACTAGAGAACAGATGAATATATCGCATGCTCTTGTAATTCAGATATCAAAAAGATTTGAATAAGATTCCTATATTTAGAATGCTAATGGATATGATTTTGCTATTAATGTGAGTAAACAAACTTTACTTATTATATCATTTTCATCCTCTTAAAACTACTGTAATGCATTCCCTGTGAGGATGCCACATGGACACTCAACAGCCAGCCGAATGACAATTAAAAAAAAAAAAATCCATTGTAAAGATCCATTTAAAGCAATGGAAGAAGGCAGCAATTTCAGTTTTGACTCAGTACAAAGCAGACTCCAGTTCCTTCTCTTAATTTCCTCAGCACTTTTCATACACCTGGATGATGATAATTTACAATAGTAGGGATATTCTGATACTGCAGTTCAAGTCTTAGCAGTAAGTAAAGGTCATATCACATAATGTGGGTTTTTTCCACTTAGCATCTTCTCTCTGTAATTATTCAGAGAGATAAAAAAAACTTGACTCCTTTCATCTATAAAATCAACTTGAAAACCTACTTGTTTTCCTTTTTCTTTCAGCTTAGAATTTGGAACCACTATATCAACTTCATGATTATACTACTGATATCTTTAGTAAAATGCCTTATTTTGGAGCTGAGAGGTACTGTGTAAATTCAATGAACGATGCAGTCTGGATAAAGTATATTGCTAGAAGGTATGCTGCTGATATGTACAAAGTGCAGAAAACAGATTTTTAAAACAAATGGGATGAGGTCCCTTAGAGAAACTATTATGCTGAAAAGAAATTAAGTGATCTTAATGGGGAAGTGAGAGAGACTGACAGGTCAGACATTTCTGATAAAATTGATCAAACAAGACACAGATTCCTGGGTGAAACCTAATTAGCATTTTCCTTGAATTTTGCTGCTGCTGTTACATAACCATAGAGGGGAATACAGGATGTTGAACATGGTGTTAGAACGTAATACCATTTCTGTAATCAGACTGTCTTTATTGCTCACTGTGACACTAATTCATTAGAGGACTTTGTGGAAATTTCATTTTTATGTATTAAATGTGTCTATTAGAGCAAACATCAGTATTGCAACTTATCATATAGATGTATGTAAGGCAAAGCCCCTGTCTTAGCAAAGTTCTAAGCATGCTCCTATTCAAAAAAATGAATCTGACTTGAATTTTAATCTTTCATTCTAGTGATAATTCTCATGCATGAAGAGACATAAAGTTATAAATTATTATTTTTAAATGACTAAGTAACATTAAAATCCCAAAGTGAGATTATTCAAGCCAAATCTATGTATCTATGCAAAAAGTTGCATAGCAGTCACAGAAAGAATAAGCTGAATACAATCGAGAGAGAAACAGAAGCAACCATGACCTGGCCTGCAGAATCTTGTATTCATGAACAGCAGGGAAGAACCTAGCTTGATGCCCAGAACAAACAGCAGTCCATTGGGCTGGTGACTAGGAAAAATTTATTTGTTACTACTATGATTTGGAAATCACAGAAAGAATACAGTGCTGACAGGGTTGTAGTTTTAGCATGGTTTCACACAAATGCATAATAGCTTGAAGTTAATGAAGTCATTTGGTCTGCTTATTCATACTGAAAGACTTCTTGTTCTAAATGCATATCTAATCCCCCTTTTTTTTTTTTTTAAATCAAAAGGAGGTCTTGCAGCAGAGTACTACTTGATCTTTTCTTCCAGAACAAATGTCTTTAGTCAGAAGTCTCTGATATTTAGAGCATTAGGATGACCAATGCCTTAAATAAATACTGTCTCATGCTTAAGAAGTACTTTAAATTACTGAAGTAGTATTTAGCTAAGATGACCATAAAAGTTTTACAGAGAATATAAAATCCTGTACTTACATGATGCTATACTTTCATGGCTAATTAACTCTGTAATTTAGATTTTTAAATAGAATTTTCACATATTATTTATTTACTTTTAAGAGATGTAGTGAAATCCCTCACCATGTTCTACAGGCTTGCCTCACCATCTGCTAGTTAGAAATGCGGGGCGGGGTACAGTACTTGTTGACTAGCAAAACAGTTCTGCAGTTGAGTTGCATCTTTTGGATCCACACTGTTGAGGGATGCCAAGCAGAGAAAGCACCCAGTTCTGTTCCTGTACACTGCCACCCACAAACAGGAGGGTGGTGGGAGTACATACGGTTTGTCTAATTCAGTCGACAACTGTATATAAACTGTCACTGTCTGGTCAAGACCAGAAAGAATGAGTAGAACTAGACTCTGAATTTTATTCCATAAAAACCTTTCAAAGTCAGTCTTAGCCACAAACACTGAAAATCCATTTAAGGGTGTAGCATTGGTATGACCATTTTGGGTTTATTTGTAAAGGTAGGATTCTTCCTTTAATTCTTAGATTAAGAGATCTCGATTGGCTGAAATAGGACAGGACAGTGGCATCAATTAAATTTTTAGCAAACTGATGTCCACATCATAAAATGCATTCAGTGTCAAAATAAAATACATAAAGGGAGAAACTCTAAGAGCTGATAAACAATTTCATTTCCATTGCTCCACGGGCTGATCGTACCGCCGTGAAGCAGCAATACTGATGCTATACTCTATGATATCCACAGTCTTGGATATTAAAAGAAGCAGCAGATACTTATCTAATTAGTCATTTAGTTCTTGCAGCTAACATATGCAAGATAATCACTACAGTTTTCCTCTAGGTTCACAAATTACTGCTCATTTCCAAATTACATATTCAAGCTGAAAAAGCTTACTTCAGCAGTATTATGTTAAATATAGGAGAGTCCTTCACTGAACAAATGTCCATAGCAAAAGCAAGACTAAATTCTTCTAAATGACACAGAAATATATTCACAGAATAATTCTTCAAATTCTCAGCAACCTTGAACAGACAGTTTTATAACTGTTTCTCAGAAAGTTCACTCTTGCTTAACATATCAGCATTGCTTTTATATTTAATAACAAAATCTTCAATGCCAACAGCCTTAAAATGAGTCTTGAATTTGATTAAGCCATTGCTTAATCCAAAGTTATCTGTTTTTTCTTATGAACTACTTTTGCAAAATTTTAAACAACTATTTTAAATACAGAAGATAGCTTTCCATACTACCCCATATTTTTAATTAGGATTTTAAAAAAAAAGAAAATCAAATCTTGTCAATATTTGTGCTACTTGTAAAACAGTACCATTTCACCAAATCATCTCTACATGGCCTTGGAAACTTTTTTGCAATCAAGCTTTCATTTATAATTTTGCTCACTGAGGTTATTTTGTCATGTTTTTTATTTAAGAATACTTTTAACAGAGATTTACAAACAGACTGTCCCAATCTGAATCTGCTACATTAGTACTATCACATACCTATATGAAAGATGACTGTCCTCACTGGATTAGCTCATGTTCACATTAGTTATTAGTGAATAGAAGTTCCAAAATGAAGGAAGAAGTCCTGAATTTGAAGGGGAAGGAAAGGGGTAGCTGAAGAAATGATGTTTTCAGAACAGCATTAATTTTCTAGAGTTTCTAAAGCTTCTAAGAAATGTTGTCAATACTACCAGGCTGACTTTACGTGGGACACAATCAGTGAAGAATTCCCAAGCTGCACAGAACTTCAGTAATCCACTCATGACTTGTTTGTACAGTGTTCACTGGTTAATCCAAGTGCTTCCGACAGGTGTAAGAACAAGCTGGTATATGTCATCCTACAGCATGAGGAGTATTTTCAAATGAGACGTGATTTCAACTAGACAGTTATGGATTGATTAAATTAAGAGTGATTCTTCAGGACTATCTCCCAGAAGAGGTGATGGTTATAATGAAAGACTAAATAAATAAGAAGCATACACCACTGCAGAAGATTTTAACAGTGACAGAGTTACTGCTTTTAGTCTTTATCATTCCTCCAATTAATTTGTTTGATGGAGATTCCTGCAGTTGGTAGTGGTTATACAAACACTCATGCCCAGAAACCATATCTAGGTCAGGAAGCAACCCAAGCTGAAAATAGTTGGAGGCTAGCAAAGTAACAAATATACTTATCCAATTCTTCCTTCCCTATGGATATTGCCACTGTTGAAGACAGGACAGTAGGAGAGATGGTAGACAAGTTTGCCATATACTGATAAACCTTTTTTTTTTTTTTGTCCCAAATACTGAAAGAGTCTCAGCTTCAGATATTCAGATGTCTTTGTTAAGATACCTATAAAATAATACTTGCTTGCAATGTACAGCCTTTTTAGTTGCTGGCAGAACTCATCAAAGCAAAGTAGAGGAATGGATTTACACAACCTTTGCACCTATAACTGCCACAATTCACTATAAAAATGAGACTGTCATTCTCTGGCCCAGGCTAACCAGGGATTTATCCAGTAGTGTCTTGAAAACCTTCAGAAGTAAACACTACACAACCTCTCTGGGCAGCCTGTTCTACATTTGACTGTTATAATCATAGAATTGTTTAGGTTAGAAAAGACCTTTAAGATCATCAGGTCCAACAGTTAACCTAACACTGCCAAGTCCACCACTAAACCATGTCCCTAAGCACCACGTCAACACTTCTTTTAAATACCTCCAGGGATGGGGACTCAACCACTTCCCTGGGCAGCCTGTTCCAATGCTTGAAAACCCTTTTGGTGAAGAAATTTTTCCTCACGT